TTAAAATATCTCTGATTAGACCATTAAATTTCTGATTTAGAGTTACCATTTTCCAATTCTTTTACAGATCTGCTAATCGTCAGAATGATAAATGGTCTGAAGTTTATCTGTACTTATAAATAAACACATGTACAGCCTATTCTATATAGAATGTTAAGATTTCTTCAGCCTGTAACAAAATTGGTCCTTAAAAATATGCATTGAATAAATGAATAAATGATAGCTGACTCGTATTACGTAAGATCCATGAGAATAGATCCTCTGTATCACCTATTATTATAACCACCTGGCATTTAATAGACCCCAATAAGTATTTATTTCAAATTTCCAGTATTTGTGTTTGAAAGATAATTTTTAAGACATGATGCTGTAAGAACATTTAGCTCTTAAGTGTCAGTATTAATGAAACACCTTAGCCAATTTTTGTTTAAATTGAATTATGATAATTCTTTTAATTTTTATAAGACTTATTTTCTACCCTTTAGTAATGTACTTGATTATTTTCTGAATGCTCCCTGTTTCCATAAATGTGAAGTTGCTTAGTTCTCATAGCACCGAGTGTCAATCGTTGGAACGGGAACAGGGGGTTCAGAGGTGGCAGGGGGTGGAAACAACACAAATTCCTTTCTAGGAGGCAGATCTAGTTCCTGGATTAATCACACTTCTGGAATGTTCTCCCATTCTTTACCTATACCTGCTGAAACTTTATACACCTTACTTGCTTCCTATATTTCCCGTATCTTTGTCACTTTTTTTTCAGATCTCAGCATATACTACTTTGAAACTTTATAGTACATTTCTCTTCCTAACAATATTACCAGAAATGGAAAACTTTTTTTGTGGGAGCATTACAGATAATATCTAGTTTGATTGCAGCTAGTTTTCAGGAAGCTCTTCCAAAGACACACTGCCTTAGGACAGATAAAGCGCCACTTCCCAGGTAAATTTAGGAACATAGAAATCTAGTATTAAAAACTGTGGCCAAACACTTTCTATCTGACTTTGTTTCAAGACTACACCTGGTGGACACTGATCTTCTAGCTCCAGTTTTCCTGGCTGCTGCCCCTAACTCTTTTGCTTTAGCTGCCTCAGCATGGTTTTCTGTTTTTCTCCTTTGGGTTTATATTTACGGCAGCTCTCTTTGATATTCTTGAATATCCTTTGATATCCTTTTTTTGTTTGTTTTCCCTTCAGATTTGCAATGACCTCTACCCCTTAACCTTGGCCGACACAGTTAAAGTCCTTTCTATGTACTAATCTAAGATGACTCCTCAGCCGTTGAGAAGGGGCAGACTGCCATCGGAACTTGACAATCTAAGGTTCTGTTTTGGTTAGCACTTTTGCTCCCTCTGTAGGGTAAAAGGTGGAGTGACTTTTTGGCTAAAGATATAATTCTGTTTATTTAGGATTGTCCTTGCTTGAGTCAGAGCAACTCCATCTAGGGCAGGACAAAAGATTGCTCAACAGCTGCTAGGACTTTCTTTTTCAAAGCTAGTATTAAGAGCTTCCTTTCAGTAAATTGATGTTGCAAGTAATTTCAAGTAAAGACTCAAGCAACCACTTCCTGGGTCATTGTCAAAGCTGGCTGACATACAGGTGTTTAGAAACAGCTTGGTGCAGCAAGGGATTCTTTTCATAAGGCTCAGATTTTATCCCAGTAAAACATAACAACTATTAGGGCTGCTTTGGGATATATTTTCATCATGTCAGCATTGTGCTGGGATTAAGTCGTTCTAAGAGGACCAAGAAAGGCCTTTGTAACTCTGATCTTCCTTTTAAGGAAACTAGATTTTTGAATCATTCACCTGTTCCTGCAATAGATAGCAGTATCTGGACTCTGAGCTTCTGACCCCTGAACTATTCTCCAAGGGTTAGAGCTGTCCTCCCATAGCTGGGACTCCTTGGAATTTGAGGGACAACCTATCACCTTCAGAGTAGGCTGAGGTACACTCTTTTCCCTGAAGAGAAACTAATTATAAAAGCTTAAAGATAATTATGCTATCAGAAAATCACTGAGCTCTCTTCAATTACATATATAAATGATAGCAAAAAAAAGAAGAAACAGAATAACAACTCAGTAACAAACAATCTTCGACATAAATAATTTAAAATAAAATAACAAATATCTGTGTTTTCCTTTGTTTCACTGGGAATAAAGTCCACTCAGTTGTCGTGAGCATGAAGTGAAATAAGCAGTCTTGTATTTGGTTGGTGACAGAGTTGTTGAATCACGGGATGTTTTTATTGTGTGTTTGAGGGAATGTATTGAGGAAAGAAACTTGGCAAATTGTATTGGTAACTTGAAAATGTCATGTGCTTTATCAGAGTAAGTCTGATTATTGGAGTATATGCTAAGGAAATGCCTGAAATATGGTACAAATAAGATTTTTGTAGTTTCAAAAATACAAAATACTGAAAAAATTGTCTGAAAAGCAGAAGGGCTACCTGACGAAATATAATGTAGTCATGATACTTTCAAACATCTTGAAAAAAGGTTGTAAAAGAACGGATTATAAAATAGTGCAATTTCAAGGTTAAATGAAATATACTAAAAATGACGCAAATAGTGAGGCTCTACACAATTTTTTTGGTGGATTGTAGCTTATGTATTTTCTAAATCTTCTATTATATTTTTATCATTCAGAAAAAGTGGCATTAAAGACATTTAGATGGTCTTTTCAGCAAACACAGATCACTTATTTAGCACACTTTTTTTTTCTTTTGAAAATAGTTTCATGAATTCTGTTAAGTGACACCAGCTGGAACCCTGTGGGCAGAGACCGGTGCCTGGGGTGCAGCGAGAAGGAGAGACAGTGTCAGGGAAGCGGCTTGGGCTGCTCGGGGTGTCCCGTGGTGAAGAGAATCTGGGGTAAAGCAGGAGGCGGACAGCAGCGCCCACAGAGTTCACAACAGCCCTGCTTCGTTGAGAAGCTCTTCAGTGGTGCTTCCCCCTCTTTCTCCGCGGTAGAGGGAGAGCTTTACCTTATTATTTCATTCTCACATGCATTTTCAGCATGCATTTTCTTACATGCCTGACACTGGAGTCTGCTTCTGTGTGTAATTCCAGTCTCAGTGAACCTTTCCTACCTTGTCATCCATCCTCTGAGCTCCATGGTAGCACAAAGGCCAGGCTGGAATAATATCTGGTGAACACACAGTAAGAGCCTCATAAGCCGATGTCAAGTAAATGAGTCGATTAAATGACTAAAAGGAAAAGGAAATGCTGTAGACTCCCTTATAACCTTAGACCTGTTTTGATCAATTCCATTGGAAAGTTTTGTCATTCTGTTACCTCTATCAACTATTTTAATCTTGGAAAGTATAAAAATTTGTGTTGACCGAGCCAAAGCCAGGTAGGATCGAGAGTGGGAGGTGGGGATAGGTGGGGCAGGGGAGTGGCAGGAGGAAAATGGAGACAACTGTGCTTGAACAACAATAAAAAATATAGTTATTTTTTTCTTTAAAAAAGAAAGAAAATTTGTGTTGAAACTGGCTGTATAAAAGGGGCACCAAAATTGCCACCCAGTCATTAAAGTGTGTGGAGGGACATAATTTATGCAGCAGAATTTTAATGAGTTCCTAATAAACACTAGGGGGCAGCTTAAGTGTGGGAGGACATTTGATAAGCACCTGTTGTGGACAAGGTGCTTTATATCTCAGAAAAGGTTCGTGCCAAGTCCGTGAGGTAACTGTGAATGTCCTTATTTCACAGAGGACAATATGGCAATTCAGGGCATTTGGTTGCCTAAAGCATCAGTACACTAAGGCGTAGGGAGGTGGGAGGGGCATCCATTTCACCCTAACGAGAAAAAAAAAAGATAATCCATGAAGTCATGAGTTTTTTAATTTAAATTTATTTATTTATTTATTTACTTACTTTTAGAGAGAGGGGAAGGGAGGGAGAAAGAGAGGGAAAGAAACATCCATGTGTGGTTGCCTCTTATGTGGCCCCCACTGGGGACCTGGCCTGCAACCCAGGATATGCCCTGACTGGGAATCGAACCAGCGACCATTTGGTATGCAGCCTGTGCTCAATCCACTGAGCTACACCAGCCAGGGCTTTTAAAAATTATTTATTTATTTATTTACTTTGCGAAGTCATGACGTTTTGAACGCATCAGAGAACTGACAGCACAGGGCAAGCTTCCAGCCTGAAACAGGAGTGAAGACGGTGTCTGCACGGAAAGGTGGGGCCCGGGCGCTGGTCCCCTTGTGGCAGACCCTATAGGAGGAGGAGGGTCGCACCACTATGGCAGTTAGGAATTCCAGTCGCTGAAGGCCGAGTGTGGGCTAGTGTGAGAACCCAGAAACACGGGGAGCCACAGGCGGAAGGGGACTTGGTACCTGCTAACAGGGTCTTCTCGGTGGCTGGACACTGGGTGTTCGTGAGAAAGAGGATGGTGCAGGACATTGGAGAAACGGGTCTCCGGGATGCAGGCAGGGAGGAGGGCGAGAACGCCGCCTCAGGAAAGGCGTCGTTAGGCAGTCTGCTATGCATTGGCAAGGAGGGTTCAATAGAGTAGAGTTGAAAACAGCATTTGTAAAATATATGCTTATTTTATATTTATACAAGCTCAGAATTCCCAATAAGCTGTTTAAATACACTAGTGGATATTTTTAGCTATTAGCATAACCTAGGTCAATCCCAAAAGCTATGTATATTAAAATTCCTGCCAGCTGTAATTTTAATTTTAGATGTTGGTTGGACCCATAATTAAATTTATAAAGTATGCTGATTCTATGCCTTTACTAGGTCTCAACATTGGTCCCTTATCTCACTCAACTCCCAGCCTGGACTTCCTCTGTCTTCTTGCCCTTTCAATTCATTCCCCCTGCCTCAGCTATAGGAAGCTTTCAAAAAATACCAATTCTACTTTTAACTATATTTTTATTGTGTACACTATTACACTTGTCCCCATTTTCCCCTCTCGCCCACCTTAACCCAGCTGGAGCCTCCTCTGCCGCCTTCCCTCAAGCCATCGCCAAACTGTGATCTGAGTCTACGGGTTATGCATGTATGTTCCTTGGCTGATTGTGTTGTTCTACTAAGTGAATCCTGTAACTTCAAACAGGCTTCAGCATGGCGTGTAGTTTCCTACATCAGATCTGCCTCCTCCCCTCTCCAGCCTGCGGCAAATGCATTTCCTACGATTCCACCAGTGTCTTCACAGGCGGCTGGCTTTTGCTGAAGCTCTTGCTCTTCTTTCTCCACCTGGCTCACCTCTTACCCATCCTTTAAAACTGGAGCAGGTATACAATTCAAAGAATAACTTAGATTTTTTCACATAGCCAAAGAGATAAACACGAATGTATTTACTGGTCAGAATATATTTAAACGGTATACAGGATCTGACTCTCTAAGCCAGCCTACTTCTAATTAAGAAGACCATGTTCCTGCTCCATTTCTCTCCTCCTTTTAGCGAGGCTGGCTTCTCAATTCATTCTGATCATTTCTTTTTTTTTTTTTTTGTAGCTTGGTTACTTGCCTGTGACATCTCAAAGAAATGACATCTGCCTTAGCGAAGGTTTCAAACTAAATTAAAAAGGCAGAAATCATGGAGGATGAAGTTGGTTGTTAGGGAACCTTGCTTCTCCACAACTGTGAATCTGTTAAATGAGGAAATGGGGCCAGATAATGTTTCAGTTAAGAAAACAGGTGAGTAATTCCCTAAGTCAAGAACATAAGCTGGAGGCATGGTTTTTAATTAGGAGATGACAGGTTGAAACCTAGGTGTTTGTTTTCTTTTTTTCTCTATGAGATAATTGACACCCTCATCCAAGCCATGTTTTGAAGTTAAGCAAGTATAGAATTTAAAGTGATTTGGGCAGTTACCAGTTTAAAGTGATTTGAGCAGTTACCAGTAGAGTTTTCCAATAATTAACACAAAGGGATTGGGACTTTTGCTAAAACAAATGGCCTATGTCATTTTGGATATTTTAATATGTTGATATGAATAGACTAGTATGTTGATGGAAGAAATTGTACACTGGATGTCAGTCATTGTCTTGCTAAGAAGGCACATAAAAAGTAGTTATATGTATTTTCAAGTGATGATATGGTTATATTATTGTTTTACAGAAAGTGTACGGTCTAAACATCTTATCCCAACAGGTATAGGCTATAATATGAAATCGTAATTATTGAGCTGAATTCACCCTGGGGTAGATGGATCATAGTTCACTTATCGTTAATTAAGTCCAGTATTTCCTGAAATCTGTAGCTACAAAAGGCATCAAACAAAGTGCAAAATATTTTTAGAGCTGGGATTGTGAAATCAGTTGCCATGGAGCAGAAGAAAAATATGAGACAAACTACAGATGTTGAGCAACTTGAAATCCAGTGAGCAGCAGAAATATTTTTAACTCTTCCATTTGACTTACATTTGGAGCTCTCCACCTTGATGAAATATCTGTAGGTAAATCAGTGTTTTGCATCAGTGTTTATTTCACCTATATTAAGACTAAATAGGCACAATTTCATAAAGGCATTTCTAATATATATACCTTTCATGGGCTGACCAAATGGCAATCATTTCAATACAGAATTCAACTGCTTTTCAATTTCAGCCACTTGAGAAACCAGTTTCTGCAGATCCAGATTCAATGTCACTTTTCCACAATATTAACTATGCAAGCCTAGCCAGGTAGAAGATAGAATACATGATTTCAGACAACAATTTCTGGATGATTCTTTAGGACTTAGCTAAGTTCTTAGGCCAGAGTCTAAAAGTAAACATAGTCTTTGCAGCTTACAGAGAAAATTTAGAAGAAACAATGAGTCTAGTACCAGTTTGTTACAAATAGTGCCCCACACAATATATACCCTAAAAGGCCACTGCTTTTTCTGGAAGATTTTCTTCTGCAGAAGTAGCAGAATGGATTTGTACTTGCAGTTCCCACGTAAACCACTCAGGAAGGGTCAGGAGTTGAGGTGGAAGTAGTCTTGTTCTCCAAGAGCTGAAATAAGAGGATGTGAAAAAACCAGTTCACGCAATGTCTCAGCAATGGATGCTCTGTACCTTTCTTTCTCTGGACCTTTTTCTGTAGCCTGCTCTTGAGACATAGACTTCCAACTGGGCAGGAAGATTCTGCAAAACAAGGCAGGCTCAGAGATTCTGAGGTTTTTTGTTTATTAAATGATGTACTTTAAGTTTGTTTTTCAGACATTCCACCCCTTGGCAAATCGAATAACCTCTAAAGATTAGGAATGACACCAGATTTAAGAATTAGTGATGGTGTTTACCGAACATGTTGGGACTCTGTATAAGCTAATTCTGCCTACAGTTCTACAATCAAGCTGTACAAATGTTTGATCCCCAGGCTTTAGTCTTGCGCCAAGCTCCTAGTACATGGCTCCGAAATGTTTGCTGAAAGTGTTGGATCAGACCTTGGCTCGTTCTGTCAGTGTCTCACAATTTGGAACCCGGAGACATCAGGCCTTGGCTTGTGTTGCACCGAAACTGCTTTACCCAAAATGCCCCTTGGAACAGTGCAATCTGACGATTCCACCTGGCCTGTGATTCATGTGGAGATAACCCCTTCTCATCAGGAAACCTGGACTTGGCTTTCATCTACGTCTTGCCCTCTACTTACTGTCTGTTTTTTCTCTTCTTCTTAAACTCTCTCACCTGCGCCCTATGAAATACCTGTTGCAGAGTAAACGAACTTACCTTTTCAGTCTCTCCTAACACTTATTCCACAATCCTTTTGCCTTAATGCTGTTTTCCTCCACCTCCAATAGGATAACCCGTCCCTTTGTCTTTTTTAGTGACTATTACTTGTCTTCTTTAGTGACTCATTACTGGGTATTATCTGTAGCGTGTTTTGACAAAATTGGTGATGGCAATGAGGGGTGACAGGAACGTGAATATTCTCATTGCCGATCATTGCTGGCAAATAGTTCCTTATCTTTTCTCACTAAAACACGCATTATTTGAGGCTCTTGCTGTTTTGCTAGCCTCCCTTCCATACTCCCCGTGACCATCATTATTCAGTTCCTGACCATTTTTATTTGACATCTGCTCAGTCCTTTTCTCTGCTCAGTTTCTGCCACCTCATAATTCTTTGTTGCAATGCCAGTGGCCATCATGTTATATAGTCAGTGGTCACTCAGCCTCCAATAACTCACAGGCCCTATCCTTTATGAGAGCCACTCCCCCACTAAAAGTTTAACTGTCGGTCTTATACTCCCACCACAAACACCTTCTTTTCTGGATATCTCATTTTCTGATTTCCATTATACTGGTTCTTGGAACTTGGAACTACTCCAGCCTTGTTTTCCCCAGTAATGCAGCATCCTGTGGGCATCATTACTTCCCTGCCTTTCTCTTGTACACCGGCACCCTTGCCTTAAGCATAACTGGGTCCCTCCTTTTCTTCCATTGTCCTTGCAGAAAGCCACAGGTTAGGTCGAACAATCTGTGTTCTGTACTCCTCCCCTGCAATGACTGTTCTTGGGAAAAAACCCCGTGACCATGCATATCGAGATTACCAAGTTCATAAATCTTAGTCCCACCCAGATTCACCCAGTGCGTGTTGAGGTGTTATTGGGATGTACGAGAGAAGACATTGAGTAGAGGCCAGATGTATAGACTCCAGAGAAAGGTCTGGGCAGCGGGTAATGATTTTGGAATTACATTCTCCACTAGATTCTTCTCCTCCACTGCTTTCCTTTCCTTAATAACGGGCAGTGTCACCCAGATGAGGTCTCCTGGCCGTTATATATCCCCTGTCTCTTGTTATAAGGAACTATAAATGGCCAATAAACATCTCATCCTAATACACTGAGCCTCATTAATTAACATGGAAATCCAGATCGAAGGCACACTGAGATAGCTTATATTCACTGGATTGGAAAACACTTGTTATTATTTATTTATTACTTTAAATATTTTATTTATTTAATTTTAGAGAGAGAGGAAGGGAGGGAGAGAAATATCAGTGTGCAAGAGGCACATTGATCTGTTGCTTCTTGCACACCTTCAGCCAGGGACCTGGCCTGCAACCCACACGTGTGCCCTAACTGGGAATTGAACCAGGGACCTTCCAGTTCACAGGCTGGCATTCAATTTGCTGAGCCACACCAGCCAGGGTGAAACACATTTTTTAAAAGTCTGAAAATTTCAAGCATTGACGGTGATCGAGAAAAATGGTCACTCTCATACATGACTTATAGGGATGCGGACTAGTATAAACACTCAGGAAAATATTTTAGCATTTTCCAACAAATTTAAAATATGCATGCCCTGTAACATGGCAAGCTCTCCCTCCCTTTCAACAGATATAGATGTATGTGCCTATATCTTTCTATCTCTATTACTATCTCTACCTCTTGCTCTATCTATCCATATACAGTTGACCCTTGAACAACACAGGTTTGAACTACATGAGTAATTTATATGCAGATTTAAAAAAATAAATACTGCATATGTATTTTCTTTCCCTTATGATTTTCTTGATAACATTTTCTTTTCTCAAGCTTATTTTAGTGTAAAATTCAATATATAATACATATAAAATACAAAATATGTATTAATTGACTATGTTATCAGTATGGCTTTCAGTCAATGGTAGGCTGTTTGTGGTTAAGTTTTGGGGGCGTTAAAAAGTTATACCTGGATTTGGGGGTGCACAGGAGTTTGGCACCCCTAACACGCCCCATTGTTTGAGGGCCAACTGTTTATCTCCTAGACATGTGCCAGGAAACATGGATGAGATGCTCATAGGAGCAGAGTTTGAAGTAGAAATTTTAAAATAGAAATAAAATAAAGAAATAAATGCAAGCCCAGAAGCATACGGTTTAATACCTGTACAGCTTATGTTACTAAAGCTACAGGAATGTGGAATCTAACTCTAACAAAAACCAAGGGAGTGATAACCACATAATTAAAGTTCTGGATATTTCTGGGGATAGGGGATATTCCAGGGAAGTATGAAATGGGCTTCGATTGTATTACTGACTTGTATGTGTTATCATGGGCTATAGATACATAGGTAGGCATCTGAATCATTACTCTTTATGTTTCTTATTGTTAAGTCTATTTTTCAATGAATGTCTGGACATATTTTACAGTGTTAACAAATGTAGCCATCCTTCTACTTCCCCCAACTCATGCCACTATGTCAAAATGGGCTGCCTGAATCAATCCCGAGAGTTCAGTTTTAGGAGGTAGTGGTAACAATGCCCACAAAGGCTCTAGGCTTCATTTCAATGCAAATTTACTCTTCATTTTCTGCTGCTCAAGACAAAGCAACAGAAGTACTGAAGTATAGCCATCTACGAGGACACAGGATTGACTGGTTCTGTTAAGTTGGCTGAAATGAGAACTTGGAAACCTTCATTGTAATGAAACATTTTTGTAGAGTACATAGATAGAATTCTCAGATTAGAAAAGTGACGCCCAGTACTTGGGTGTACTAATTAGCTCATGTTCTCCAAGTCTGTTGGGCATCCTGTATTCGCAAACAAGTGATTCTTTAGTAATTATTATCAACTAGTTCTTTACAGACGTTTGTAACCCCAACCAGTAATTTACCCATTAGTCCCCCAGTATTGATTAAGTTCTTGTAAACTGTGCTATTGAATACTAATCGCTCAGGAAATACACTTTAAAAACTGGCCTGGTCCCTGCCATCTTAGAAACTGCCATTATATACTTAAGAACAGTAGGTTGTACCCAGTGCCCCAGTAGAGCTCACCTGAGACAATGCTATATACAAAGAGACCATTATAGTTGCAGGATTAAAAGAAAGAAATGCATAAGGTAATTAAAGGGGGGACCTGTTTTCAGAAAAAGGCGTTGTCAGTAGCAAGGACATGCGTCATGTTCCAATTGTCCACATTACTTGGTGAGAATTAGGAAATGACTGTGGATGATAGACAGCGGGGTATCACTGGATATCAACTAGATGTATAACCAAATATAATAACCAAATATTGTAACATATAACATATGTAGACCAATTTCCTAAAGTGCCAATAAAGCATAAAAGTTTGGATGTTCATGTTATATTTGTCAAAAAATGTCAAAAGTTGACATTTCTGGGATTTAAAATTGGCACTGTGACTGCGACATATGGATCAACTTTTCATCTCAGAGATATTTACAACAGAACACAGAACCATAATCTTTTCAGTTCTGAGGATTCTGAACAATCCCCTCTTCTTGTGCACGTGAGTGTCTGCGCATTTTCTCGGGAATTTACCAGGAGTGGAATTGATAGCTCATAGCATAGGAATGTCTTCAAATTTACTAGGTAATGTCAAGTGTTTTGTCAATGGTCTTACCAATTTACACTGTTGCCAGCAGTATATTTACTTGGGACTTCATTAATGATTTACTAAATAAAGTTTCACAATTTTTCCAGAAAAAGTATTACATGTCTCTTGGTAGGTTTATTGCTAGATACTTGAAGATTTCCAGGAATATCTGTTTAAGTTTTAGTTTTCTGGATATTTGTTGTTGGTATATTGTTAATTTTGTATCTACTAGTCTGGCTAAACTGTGACTCATTCCAATAGTTGGCTTGTGGGTTCTTTGGATTTCTATGTATGTACTCATATGCAAATAGGAACATTTAGCATCTTCGTATTATTGACTTCTTATTTTACTGCCCTGGACAGGAACTTCAGTACGACTCTCAGGAGCAGGCGTCAGGGTAAACATTCTGTCCTGTCATTTTTTCTTTTTACATCTCAACCCTTTCAACTGAAACTTCTTTCCCTCGGCTCTTTTGCCTTTCTTTTTGTAAGTGTCTGTTGATGGTGACTTCGGATAATCTCATTTAAACTTTTTACTGATATACATTTTTGCTGAGCACAGAATTCTAGCCTGCCAGTAATTGCTTTTTCAGTACACTGAAGACCATTTCCACCGTCTTCTGATTTTTTCACTTTTGATTTTAGAGAGGTCATGTCTTTCTAATAAAATGTAGTAGGCTATATTGAAAACACAGTTGGAAGCCAGGTTCCTAATGCTAACTTTTTAAGGTACTTTCCCTCATTATTTGCTACTCAAATGTTTATACCATCACTGAGGAATTTAGAATTATAATTTGAAGGTCTCAAGTTTTTCCACCATTACAAAAGAATGGGCTCAGTTGCCATCAGAACAACACTGGGTTAATGAGATAGAATTTGTTTTGGCTACAAGGGAAAAAAGAAAGAGAAAGGAAGGAAAAAAGGAAGGAAGGAATTAGCCATTAACAGTGACTTAAACCATATGTATTATTTGCTGAATTAGTACAGAGGCTTCAAATTCAGTTACATAACATTTCATGAACACACCTATTACACACAAGAAGACGTGTCTTCTCTTCGATTAGAATATGTGTAAGTTTACTGATATTTTGGAAGTTCTTGTCACTAAGCACCCCCAACCAAAGTTGTTGGCCTATGGAAAATGTGTGACAAGGAAGAAAAAGTCATTGTTTCCCTTCTATTCTCTATTGCGCGCCAATTTGCCAAAGGGTCAGGTAGCATCGGCTCTCAGACTGATTGGAAGCCCCACCTCAATTTTGCGTGCTGTGCCACGTACACCTCCCTTGGCGAGAAGTAGAAAGAAACCAAGGACATTCTTTCCTTTCCAGTCCCTGATCGTTTAAAAGATTAGGAGTCTTCAGAAACAGTGACGATGATTACATGACCTAGATCAAGATATTATGTGCTAAAAAGCAGGCAAGGTTTACTGTGGATAATCCTTGATTTATACAATGAAGAGCTATTGAAGTATACTTACAGCTTATTTTTATTTTTTACTCTAGCTAAAGCTGTTGTAATGTTTTCCTCCTTGTTCAATTCAATGTAGCTACTGACTTACATAGTGCAGTAGATTTTAATCGCCACTCATCTAAATTTATCATGATCCAGTAAGCTCAATATTGTCTTATTTTTGGACAGTTTTGTACTTAGTCATCACTGTAATCCCTGTGCTTAGTCACAAACTCTGCAATATTTATAATTAAGGAGTGGCTTTGTGGGCTTTTTTCAGAAGCAAGAACTAAATTCCTAACCAGTTAGAAACCAAGTTTCTGGGATTTTAAATAAGTTTTGCGAAATAACGAGAGCAAGCGTTCACATCTGCTCAGAATCCTAGAGTCATTCTTACAGTTCAGATACTTTCCTATGTGACATTTTTAGAAGGAAGCAATTTTCTTCTATTTATTTCTCCCCAACTGCATAAATTTGTACTTTGGGGTTGAATAGTTTTTCTCAGGGAATAGGAGTCAATTAGTTTACATAATCCAGACTGAATAAATACACAGTTATTTAACATAAATTCAGTATTTCCTAACTTCTAGTCCACAGAGTGAGTGCAGACATCTTTAGAATTGTGTTTGGGATACCAGCACCCTCAACAACTGGAGCACACTATGGATAGTGAAGAAAACACGGCCGAGCTGGTGAGTAAATACTCTTTAATCCTTTCGTGTCCAACATTCTTGCTTTTGACTCTTTAAAAAAATTATTTTATTGTTCAATTACAGTTGCCTGCGTTTACCCCCCACCATTCTCCCCACCCCAGCCTTGCTTTTTGACTTTTAACATTTAACCCTTCAACAAAATTAACTGCATTTTGTGGTGTTTGGTCTTTACGGGATGAGTAGAATCTAAGATTTCATTATCAGTAATCATAAGTTTTAAGAGAGTTATTTAGTTTGCCAAATAGTACTTTCATGTCCCTGGGGAATTTTGCATTAGACATTTTGCCTAAATTTTGACATTTATATCAGAAACCTATAATAAGGTACTGGTAGATGTAATTTGAGTAGATGATTTGAAATGTGTGTTTATATCAAATATTAACAATATTATTTATATCTGTGCATATTTTTATTCAATGAAAATATTTATTCTCTTTCTCCTACTTGTATTTAAACTGGTAATTTGTGAAAAATGTCTTATGGCAGAGGAATTTATGTTTAAAATGTGTTATTCTAGCAATGTGAAAATTCTATTTCTTAGAACATATAAAGGGTCTCATTCACCTTTCGAATAAGTCCCTTTATTTTACAAATGAAGCTATGAAAACATTAGAAGTCCAACTAGCCAGCAGCAGAACTAGCAGTTGAGAACTCAAGTTTCTCACGTAACAATCATTTCATTATAAGAAACTACTTTTCAAAATCTCTGACAACTACGTTCCTAACAAAGAAAAATAAATTTTATAACTAACCTGAGGTTGTAGAGCCAAGTGACAAATCAAACAAAATAAATACAAAGATAAGGTTTGACATTGAAATTGCTTTACAACTTGAAGGTTCTATTTTTAATCAGTTTTGGGATTCATTAACTATACCCCCATAACATTAATTCATAGGATGCCTCATGTGTCAAAGAAGCTGGAAAATGTCATTGCTTTAACATCGTCTGTACATCGTTTTGCCTCCATTTCATAATATAGTAAATGTGAACTATGGTTTGTTCCCATATACAGAAAACATTTATGCAATTTATTTCATTAAGTCAAATAATTAGTTAATTGTGTTAAAAAACACAAACAGTAAAATCAACTTCTAAGACTAAGAAAAGGAATAGTTAGAATTTTCCGTTTTTAGTAATCCGATGACAATCTCTACAATCCATCAAAGCAAAGGACATGAGATTTTTTTTTACAATTATTCTATGACTTTATTTTAGAACATTTAGAAAATGTAGAAAATTACAAAGGAAAATAGTCACCCATGATTCATCCCAAAGAAAATCACTGCTAATATTTTGCTTCATTTACCTTCCCACCCCATCTAATGTAATTTTATTGTTTTAGTTGACTTATTTTACCATCTGAATTTTCCATCAATTTACTTATTTCTTTCCCTCTAAATTTTTTCATAAAGCTCCTAATTAAAATTCAGGGAATCAAGAGTTTATGCTACTGAAAACTTTTATAAGAGAACATTTATTTAAGTTGTGTTTTTGTTCCTTAGTAAAGTTTCATTGTAAAGTTTCTTTGTATTAGTCCTATGGCATTTTGCTTAACCACTTCATGTGCTTTATTACTACTGCAAACAGCAGTTCTAATACACACGCATATACACAAAGCAAGTTCTGTTACACATAATTTTCATATTTTAACAACCAGCTCTATTTCGATTCACTAATAACTCAGTGAGTTATTATTTTTTAATAGATCACATGGGGTTTAGTTTGAACACAATCATATCACGTGCAAACAATGTTAGTGTTACCTTCACATTTCCATTATTGATACATATTGGTGAGAATGTCTGAAAAATTGCCTGATATTGGTGGTCAGAGACATTCGTCATCTCTGGCTATAAAGGAAGGTGCCTGATGCATCGCTGTCACCACTATCCTGGCCACTGGTTTGAAGTCAGTATTCCTTGTTTTAACTGGAAATTATTCTTTTATTTTTATTTCTTCAAGATTTGTGTTGTTGGTCTGCTTGTGTCAGGGACAAGTACTGAAATTTGTTAAATGATCCTTGGGCATCTACTGAAATGATTATTTATTTTCTTTTGCTGATCCTTTGATGGGAAAATGCATTTTATAATTTAGATCCCATGAACCACTTTTAGAGTTTCAGGTTCTCCTAGAGTTGGATAGTTCTTTATTTAATATAGGCAGAGTCACATAATTTTTCCTATATTTTATACATTTATGTTTCTGCATAACCTAAACTTTCTTTAGCCTTAAAAACCAGGGTTGTTTGTTTTAAATTCTTTCTCTGCAGTTACCCAGAAATCCCTACTGTTCCAATGAGGGATCGCACTGTGGCTGTAAATTGCCTCATGTGACCTTCCAGCCACAATGGGTAAGGTTTGAGAACTGGAGTGGGGTGGGCTAGGGTGGGGTAGGGGCATGGGGAGTCTTTAGTAGTCCTTTGGCACGATGAGAAAATGGGGCGAGCAGGCCTATCCTCACAGCCTCTCTGCAGGGCTCTGCTCCCCTCTAACCCTTCACTTGCCACTCATCCGTTGGCTAGTCTACACTTCTTTCCAGCTGCCACTCCATGATCTCCGGACAAAACCTAGAGCCCACGGCTCCCAGCCGTTTATCACTATTGTATTTTGTTCCTTTAAGATCCCCTCCAGACCAGAGATTTTCTATTTTGATGTCTTTCCAAACTCATTGAAAGTCCTTTTATTTATGTTTAACAGATAAAAATGTATTTAATAAATACTTTTCTAATTATAAACTCTCAGTACATAAGGTTAAAACAGGAAATAATGCTAAACAAAAAAAATACTGGCAATTTTTCATTACCCAAAGATGACCAGTCCAAATGTTTTGATGTGTCTATTCATTATTTTTCTGCCCGTGTGGGCTGATAAGAGAATTTAATTTATACTGCAATGTCAGTAGCCAGTAATAACCTAACAAGTATATCCCTGAGGGGGTCTACTTGCCTTTGTGATGACACCTTATTGCTTTAGTATGAAAGGGTAACTAGGAGGAGGCATTATGTTCTCGTGGAATGTGGGTAAGGGGTGTGTATGTATGTGTGTATGTGGGGGGTGTACCTGTTTGAAAGAGAGAGAGACAGAGTGAGGGGGGGTTGATAAATTGAGCTTTAAATTACAGCATTTGAAGTCATAGAAAAGGCTGGCCTTATTCTAGTTGCAACCATTTCCCTAAGTTACCACTACATAATTTGCTGAAATATCTCCTTATGTTAAGCCTTTGCAGGTTGCAGCAAAACAATGGTCACTCTGGAAAACATTTCTGGTGTGTCTGCTGGCCTGTCTGATTGCTACGACCCTTGTTGTTCTGGTCTTGTATTTTGTTCACTTTGGAAAGCCCACCGTCATCATTCACGGAGATGGGAAGGGCAGTCATGTGGCCTGCACCTCTGGCCCTAGCCCATCTCCTGCCCCATGTCCTACCCCATCTTCTGCCCCATGTCCTACCCCATCTACTGCCCCACGTTCTACCCCATCTCCTGCCCCATCTACCCTTCCTGGGTCTCAGAGCACCCTGCCTTCTACCCCCGTGACCAACCAAAGCTCTTCAACCATGGTGCCTCCATCTGCCATGAAGACCACAACGCAACACGAAGTCATCATTGAAGAAGAAGAAGGAAGTCCTTGAGCCCTCAGCCTTCCTCAAGCCAGGTCAACACTCTTATGCTGAAGGAGGCACATCTGAGCTATTCTGTCCTCCCTGCCAAGAGATTCCAATGCATTTGACTTCATGAGACCTTGCCTCTCTTGCTCAATCATTGGCTGGATTCCCATATGGTGATGACTCAGTCTCAGGTCAACGTTCAAATGACCTTGACTGGCAGTGTTCAAATGATCAGAAAAGAAAAAGTTTGGACCGCGCCTGGTAGACTCATCTAGATGGGGTTCAGAGTTTTCTCTACACCCCTTTCGTACAACTGACCTCATTTATCACCCATGAAGATTTTAGGCTGCTGAAGAGGCTGCCGCTTGGATCCTGCTCTACTTAAGCTAGTATTTGTCATTTGTTATTGATTATTTCCCAATCTATTTTCAGCATTTGTATCCCAACTGAGAAAGAAAGAAATGTGCAAGCAAAGTGATTATTGCTTACTGATTATTAAATACCTATTGATCATTACATAAGTGTTCTTATTGGGGAATTGAGAAAAGAGGGGGATATTAGTGAGGACGGGAATAATCAAGGGGGATTTTAGAGAATGGCTCACAGTTGAAGAAGGGTGAAAATTTGGACTTGGGTAGAGATCATTAAATCAGAAAATGATAGGGCTGAGGGGGCATAATAGATTTAAAATGAAAAGTACACTTAGAAACACTTTAAATGTACAAGGGATGTATTTCCTATATCCACACCTTTTTCACTGACATTATCAATATTATTTTCCATATTTGATATGATGCTTAATTTTGAAACCACTATAAACTACACTTATAAAATTTCAACATTTAAATTGTGTCATACTTTGTACTGTAAATTTGAGAGCACATGCTTATAATTTGCTATGAAACACAGACTCTTGTCCATTATTGCTTATATTCTAAGTGTTTGGTACTTAGTACAAGCACAAACATTTCAATCTGGAAAAGACTTCAGAGTAAAGCAATCTGCCCATTCCACCCCCATCCTCCAAACTCCACAAGGGTAGTAAGTGTGAATGAATTTCTTTCCAGTATAGTAGTAAGTAAATTCATTTCTCTACAATTTTGTCTTAATTGCTTGTGAAAAAGATTCAATTTACTGTGTTAAAATGTGCTTCCTTCCTTAGACAATTTAAACCTTGTTTTGTGATTTAAAAAAGAGCTTTAAATAAAAGATTAATTTACTGATAAATTTTTTTAAGTTTTGTATTCTAGAAGCCATTCTAAGTAACTAGATGTTTAATAAGACCTGCTGTTTTCTTCCTTTACTCTTAGGAAATACAGAAGCAGTGGGATGATACAGGAAGGATAATTTCCTCATGTGTAAGGAGAACCTTCTCTTAGCAATGAAATCCCTGCATTGAGTATTTGGTTGGAGGACATTGTAACTCATGCCATTAAGTGTCTGTGCTTTGCAGAGTAGAGATGTGAATGAGCTCACAGATTCTTTTATTGCTTTAGACATTCACAGTTTAATAAAATAGTAAAAATAGTAATACATGTTCTAACATTATTGTTTTAAAAATGTGTTCACTTTCCTTAAGTGACGGTAATATATTTTACATCAGGAAGCTTCTCTATTTAAAACGTCTTCTACAAGCACTTTGGGAAGTCCGTTGTTTTGCTCCTAAATTCCAAGTAATTCATGTGGGATTAAAATGTCAAGTTTTCAAATATGTTTTACCAAATAAATGTGTACTTCACTCCTTTGGATGCTTTATTAAAAAGGGAATCCAAAGAAGTGAATTTATCTGTACAGATAGAAGTTCCATGTATCTACACAGAAAATACACTGTAATAGGTAGCCTGGCTCTGTGACGATGTTCACAGACATTTGGGGGACCCATTCAGAAGGCAAACTATTAAGGCCGCTCACTTCGATTTCATGTAATTGCCAAAGGTTTTTTAACTTTGGCAGCATCTTTGTAACACGTGATCTGTGAATTTTCACCTGGTTAGTCCTTAGTTCTTCAGTAACCTCCTCAGCTTCTTATTAAGATGCCCTGGGAATGATGGGCTCCGATGTCAGTGTCACGATCAAGGCAAACATGTTTCTGGTTTGTCCCTTCTCCAGCTGACTCTTGTCATGGCACCGTGAGAGCATTTTCGAAGTTTGGTAGAACTCTCTCTTTGTCCTTCAAAATGATCCCTGCCATCAGTTTATTTCTAAAATCAAATCCAACATTCATCATTTTCCCCCCACTGGGACTTTAATTTTTTTTAATTAGATTCTCTAATTACATTGACTTCATAGGAGGTTTCCTCCTCATATTTTTTAATGATATTTTAAAACTCAACCGGACAGAATGAGTTTTAAAATGTCCATAAAGTACCTCAAGGCAAACACAAACAAAATAACACATGTGGTAGTAGATTAACAACCAAAAGGAAAAGGGGGCATAGCCATGCACAGGGGCAGGCTGTCTGTCACCAAGATGACAGCCTATGAGACGGCAGCCTTCCTGCACCACCTACCCGCCCCCCCAGATCAACAATTAGAAAGCTACTCATGAATGAAGCAGCCCTGGGAGAACTCTGGAGTCTGCTTAAGACGCTTCAACAACACAGCAGAGCACACACACGCAAACCCAGAGTAACTGCAAATAAAGAGAAGGAAGACCGCTTCATTTTGTCTGAATCATCCCATCTCCCACACAAGCATTGTTCAGCACCAAGAGGGATTGTCCCAGCTAGAAAGAATTCCGCTTGCCAGGAGAAGATGAGCAGGGTGAGCAACCGGCCTGCCCAGCCCTTCAGGGCATCACACAGACTCCCACTTTCATTTTGCCCCACCCAGACTGGCAAAGCTGAGGCATGCAGAAATGGCTAAGAACGGTGCACAAAGGCGGTGGCCAGTGGTGGCCCTGCAGCTGGAGTCGTCCCTGTTCTACAGATAAATCCAGCAGCTTTTGCTACTGAAGAAAGAACCAATGGCCAGCACAGCTGCGGAGGATCACTTGCAGATTCCACCAGGTTTTGCTCCTCTGCAGTACTTGCATTTGCTGGCACCAGCTGTCAGAGTCCCTCCCCACTCCCTTCCATCCCTACCCCCACTGGACCCTGATTACTGCACAGGAGGCAGCCCAAGCCACTGGGCTGCAGAGTGTGAGATACCAGCACAGACGCTCACAGCAGATGTCCACCACCGTGTGCATGCACGGGAATAGCCACCCCAGCTGCGCCCTTGTGTTCTGCAGGCCTAATGCCTACCACAGGCCTCCACTGCTGTGTTCGTGTCTGGGGGAGATGGTATAGCCACAAGAGAGCAGGTGAAAGCCAAGGGTCCATTGCTGCTTGTGGGCTCAGATCAAGACCTGTCTCTGTCACTGGCCTGCACTGCTGTGCTTACCCCTAGCTAGCCACTCCAGCTGTGCCTTGAGGCCCCCAGCCCAACTCGTCATGAGCAACTCCACTGCTTTGTACATGTAGTAAAATGCAGTGGCCTAAGTAGTGCACACCGCCAATCAGGACCCCCACAGCTGCCCCTGTGCCTGCAGTTAGCCCTGGCCCCCACTACAGTGTGTGTGTGGTGAAAGGCCCCTGCCGTCACGCCACACAGGCACCCGAAGCTGGCCCTGCAGCCAAGAGTGGTACACCACTATCACTGACCACGACTGCCACCTGCTGGGGTCCTCGTTACTGGACCCGAAGGTACTGCTGAAGACCCCAACAGTCCTTGAAGCCACCACAGGCTCCTCACTGTGCTGGTCAAGTACCACATGGCTGCCAATGTTGGGGACTCTGTATGTTCTCTTGGACCCATTGCCACACTTGTGCCCTGCACCACTAGACTGGGTCCTCCAGGTGCTACGGCATGCCCGCATCCCCACATAGAAGCACTCCTGCGCAAAGTCTGGAGAGGTGGACTCCTTCTTCAAATGTGCAGACACCTATGTGAGGCTACACAGTCATGGAGAATCGGAGAAACATTAGCCCACCAAAGGAACACAGCAAACTCCCAGCAGCTGGTGTAAGGTAAATGCATTTCCAGGAATTACCCAACAAAAAAATCTAGATAATTTTTATGAAGATTCTCAGAGAGCTACAAATGAACACAAACACTTCAAAAATATCAGGGAAACAATATATGAGAAGTTCAACAAAGTGACAGAAACCATAAAAATAAGAACCAAACAAATTTTTGGGCCAAAGAATTCAATGACTGAATTAAAGAATTCAGTAGAGAGCTTCAGTAATAGACTTGGCCAAGCAGAACAATGAATTGGGAACCCTTAAGAGAGATTAATGGTATTATCCAACAAGAAAAAAAAAATGAAAGAAGAAAGAGTGAAAAAAAATCTGTGTAATCTATGGGATATGTCAGAACAATCAGTTGAAAATTTCCTACAGTTCCAGAAGGAGGAGAGAGGAAAAAGAGGACAGAAAATTCATTTAAAGAAAGAATAGCTGAGAACTTTCCAAATCTGGAAGGTATTCAGGCATCAGAGTTCATGAAACTCACATTTCAGTAAAGAAACTCAAATAATAAAAAGGATTCTCTCCAAGACACCCTATAATAAAACTGTCAAAAAAAGGTAAAGAGCCATAATCTTTGCATTTCAGCTTTAAGACTCAGCATTTCTGGTTAACGCAAGTCTAGTGGTGATGAATTAACTTGGCTTTTGGTTGTCTGGGAAAGTCTTTATCTCTCGTTTTATGAGGCCAGAATTATGCTAATATCAATGCCAGATAAGGACACTATAAGGAAACACAATCATAGGCCAATATTCTTAATTAATAAATACGCAAAAACTCTAAAAATATTAGCAAACCAAATTCAACAGCATATTAAAAAGATCATAAACTGTGGTCAAACTAAAAAGTTTCTGAACAGCAAAGGAAAACATCAACAAAATGAAAATGCACCCTGAGAATGGGAGAAAATATTTGCAAATCAAATATATGGTAAGGGGTTAATATCCAAAATAGATAAAGAACTCAAACAACAGGAAAAAACAGTCTGATTAAAACACAGGCAGATGAACTGAATAAACATTTTTCTCAAAGAAGACATACACAAGGCCAACAGGTCCATGAAAGGTACTCATCATGAGGGATGTGCAAACCAAAACCACAAGGAGATGTCACCTCACACTTGTAAGAATGGCTATGTTCAAAAAGAAAAGAGGTAAGTGTTGGTGAGCATGTGAAGAGAAGGAAACCCTTGTGCACTATTTGTGGAAACGTAAATTGGTGCAGCTGTTATGGAAAACTGCATATAGCAGCTGTCCCCAATCTTTTTGGCACTAGGGACCAGTTTTGTGGAAGACAGTTTTTCCATGGACAGGGGATGGCAGGAGGAGACAGGAGGCGGAGCTCAGGCAGTAATACGTGCGAAGCTTCGCCAGCTCTCCTGTCCACCACTCATCACCCACTGTGTGGCCCAGTTCTTTTTTTTTTTAAGTGCATTTTATTGATTATGCTATTACAGTTGTCCCATTTTTTGTCCCCTTTATTCCCCTCAGCCTGCACATTGACTGGTACCAGTCTGCAGCCTGGGGGGTGGGAACCTCAGAATATAGTGTCCTCAAGATATTAAAAAGATGACAGAACAATCACACTTCTGGGTCTCCATTGGAAAGAGATGATGACAGAATCTGGAAGAAATGTCTGCATTCTCATGCAGTGCTACTCACAATGCCAAGATATGGAAACAGCCCAAGTATCTGTCAAAGATGAATGACTAAAGAAGACAACATATATATACACGCACACACACATACCGTCCAGAAGGTGTCCAACCATGTAATATGAAAAATAAAGACATTTATTGAGGAAGATACAATACAAGGAACATTGTACAGAGGACAATGACGCCTCGGTCCCCTTAGAAGTAGGCACCTTGGGACCTCATACTGTTGTCCAAATCCCCATCAGCTGTCCCAGCGTACTTTCCTTCATCTCACTGATGGTCTGAAATCTCTTCCCTTTCAAAGGTGATTTTAGTTTTGGGAAGAGCCGGAAGTCTCAGGGTGCCAAACATGGGCTGAGTTAGGCAGGCTGGGTGATCTGATGTTTTGCCAAAAAACTCCGGATGAGACATGATGCATGAGTGGGCACATTGGCGTGATGAAGCTGCCAATCACCAGTTGCTCATAGCTGCAGCCTTCTGAATCATCCAAAAAGTTCTGTGGAGGAATTTTCAAGCTTAATGCAAAAACTGAGGCA